GTCCTGAGAACAAAGCCACAATTCTGCCATTTTCATCTCTGAAAACTCCTCCTCTACCTGAAGGGCCCGGGTTACCTCTTGAACTCCCATCAAAATTCAATTTCACTCTTTGTTGTGTTGGTGGGGACCACAATTCCTGCACAATAGGTTTCATTGCACTATATTCAATCTGAACAAATTTCCTCGTTGCATTTTCTACCAATACTAGTTTCTTAGCCAGTGAGTCCTTTTTTTTCCTGGATTTTTTAGGACAGGAATTAGTTTCTTCTGCTCAGTTTAACTTGATTCATGGCCATAAAAGCTGCACTTTAATGTGCTTTCTTTCGTATCTTTCATTATACCATAAAGTAGGTGGAATAATTTCACATTGTTAACGTAGTTCAGGAGAGAATATGTTCTAACAGTTATTTTTCTCTCAAATGATATATGCACAGGTTCTTTGGCCAGAGAGTGGATGGAAGCCTGTTCCCCTTGTCGATATAATCGAAGGAAATGCTGTGAAGCGAGCCTATCAAAAAGCATTACTTTGTCTACACCCTGATAAACTACAGCAGAAGGGTGTTGCATTGCATAAAAAATATATTGCTGAAAAAGTCTTTGACATCCTGCAGGTAAGCAGAATAGTTTACCCTCAGATAGCACAAGTATCAGGGCCAATGATTTCTTTGCTGTATCTCAGTTAGGCAGTGATATCGCAGGGAAATGGAAATTCATCCATGCTCACTCAGTTTTCTTTCAATTGGGGGGTACAAGCATTCTTGCACCGGGACTCCCTTTGGGAGATTTTCTGCACAAACAAGCTGATCAATTAGAGTACCCTAACAGATGGTGGCTGGATGATTTGGGTGACATGGTGCATCACATATTTGCACCATTCTGTGATTATAGAGGCAATGCTTTTTTTTTTTCACAAGCAAAGCCATAGATCAGGGTACCCCCAATAAACTAATAAGATGTGTGTCTAAAAAGTATACAAATCAGTTTAGGCTGTTGATATTTTTCGCCCGCATAACATTACCAAGCACAAGGTTGTCCAGGTCCTTTAGTTCCCAAGTTCATAGAATATCCAAATTCATAAATTACACTAATCTGCATTCTATCTTCCAGATTTACTATTCACTTCTAAATTCCAAGGTGTCACTATAAAAGCATTCATGATACTATATTTTAAACTCTCCTATGCCTGTCAAAGAGTACAAAGATACCTTTATTAACAGAGATACAAGGTAAAGCATAATTCTCTTGGTTGAATGTGTGTAAATTATAATTGCTGTTTTAAGCATACTAATGGAAGCATAGATGTAAGTGTTTCTGATGCACCATCTGGTGGGTTCTTTCTAGGAAATGAAAGTCATCATGATCTGATGATTATAACAATCTGATCTACCACTCTCTATTGAAGGTAAAAAAGAGAAAAAAGAAAAAAAAAATCTGTCAACCATTTTTAGGAATACACTGATTGGATAGTTTAGCATCGAGTCAATTTGCTCCTGTTCTTTTTTTTTTTTTTTGCTGTTCTCCATTGGATGGCAGGTCCTGAAACTCCACACTGGCTTTTCATATATATATATTTTTTTTTATTTATTGCTAACATTGAGAATTCTATTGATAGTGAGAAAAGAATAAAAAGATCATTACCCAATGTTAGTCCCAGCTATCTGGGGTCTTGGGAGGGGTAGACTGGATACTATCTTAACCTTTTGCTTAAAGTGGTAAAAGTTGAATAATGACTCGTGAATAACAAAGGTGATTCTAATTGTCACTACAGGAAGCATGGAATCATTTTAACTCACTTGGATCGTTCTGATTGTGGAATCTTCACTGGCCATCTACCTCTAATCTACAAAACAAAACTCTGGTGTTCACTCTCACTCAGTGGTGGTGACTGTATTTTTCAAGGTCTGTTAGTATGGTTAAAAGTGTACCTATTTCCCTCTTGGTAAATTGATTGATTTGTTGCATAATATAACTACTGTATATAGTTATATATGATTGATTCTTGAAAGCTTTCATATATTGTAGTGTACTTTACTTTTTTGATCATCACCATCCAAGCCTTATCCCAACTGTATGGGGTTGGCTTTTTTGATAATAAGGCTGTGTTTGGTTGCAGTGCAATTTTATTTGCACTAGTACAAATGCATGGGGGTGCATTGTGATTTGTAACCCAAACCAACCTTCAACCTTCATTCACCTGTTTTTTCTTTTCTATCTCAATCCAAGGACCCAAATAGAAAAAAGAATTCACTCTTACACCAAGAACACCTTTTTTTCTCTCAATGTCTCTTCTTCTAGAAGAGCACACACACACACACATACTCTCTCTCTCTCTCTCTCTCTCTCTCTCATACATATATTGAAATTAGACCTGTTCACAGGCCAGGCTTTGGGCCTGACTTTACACTGTTGGGCTTGGGCTTCGAGCTGGGCAAAGTTTGGCAAAAGCCAAGCCTAAGGCCCATGAACAGATCTAATTGATATATACCTAAAGGGGGACCACACCCACTGTTATCCAATCTAATGGTTGAAAAGTAAGACACAAACCCAACAGAACATGCATCACTACCACCATAACCCCATTAAGCTGCTAACTACAAGTCTACCGTATATCACCTTGCTCTTATGAGCTATGAGGACCAAAGCTGCATTGCAATAAAAAATGTAGTCTCAATTAGTAGGTGCAATCAAAACACTATACAAGGTATCATTTGGGAGATCACATCTGCTATGACCACCATTGCAGACACAATATCCCTTTGTTTAAATTCAAAACACCATGTGATCTGCCTTTTTGTTTTCAGTCATTGACTTGTCCATGTTTGATTGGGTGATTGCAAGTGCTGCGACTGATCAGAACTTGTCAGTTAGAGCCATTTGACACCCTGTTTTTTCCATTTAATCCCCTTTTGACACCCTATAAGTTGTACTAATTGCAGCTAAACGTGTGGCTAATGGGCACATGTTGATGCAACGCACTTTACTGAATTCTGACTTGTTTAGAGATTAGGGTTCAGTGGGGCTATCTTTTTACTTAGTGCCCGAAATACATACTAGTACTCCTATTAAATGATTTTGTTTGATCGTTGGAGAGACTTACTTTCATGCTTCTACTAGGTACTGGTGGCAATTGGGCGGGTTGGGTTGGCTTTGGTTTGGGTTGAGTTTCAACCCAACCCATTTAACCTGCCAACCCGTTAATGACCCAGTTATATCTTATTAAATGGGTTGGGTTCAACCCAAACCCGCTTTAACCCAATCCAACCCGCCCAAACCCATTAATCTTATATTTATGTACTTAAAACAAAAAACTAATTCCTTTTTAACAAATAAGTTAGTCATAGCTTAGTGGTAATAGTAGTTGCTATTTACACAAGTGGTGAAGGTTCAAATCACATTACATGCATGTTATTTTTATACAAGCAGTAAAGCCATTTAACTATGTTCGGGTTTCGGATTTGACGAACCATATAGGTTCAAACTGGTCAGACCAACTTGAACTATCTAATTGGATTGTCTTCGAGGTAATCACATCAAGTTCAGGAGTGGTTGAACTGTTTAGATCCAGATCAGTTCGGTTGAACTAGACCCCACCCAAACCGGTTCAGTCTGGTAGAACAAAAACTTGATCGGACCGGTACTAGTTCAGTTCGGTCGGGCCAAACCCCGACCGGGCCGATTCAATCCAATCGGACTAGACCAGACCAGTTTAGTCAATGGTGGATTGACTTGGGTTGGCTCATATTAGTTTTGTGCATGGGTTTGGGGCCGAACCGATTGGCCCAAAGCGGGTCAAAAGAAGTAAATCAAACCATACTAGATTCGGGTCGGGTTCAACGGATATGAACTAAACTGGACGATCCAAAGCAGACGAAGCGAGCAGGGTGGTTTAGGGTTCGGACCCCACCCAGTTCGATCTATTTTGGATTTAGGTCGACCCGGATCAGTTTGTACTGGGTCAGGTCGGACTATGTGAATAATGGTTGGACCGGACGACCCAAGCTGGGCAAAGCAAGCGGTACCAAGCCATCCTGTCCAAGGTTTAGTTCGGATTCAGGTTGACCCGGATCAGTATATGTTGGACCGGGTCAGATTGCATTGAACTGGTTCGGACTTGGGTCGAATTGATTTGGATTTATGTTGGGTGAAGTGTGTTGATTCAAGACAAAACTAAATTTAGTCAATAATTAATAGAAAATTAATGTATTAATTATAAATTATTTAATTCAAATGAAGAAAATAAAAAAAATGCTAAGAAATTAATACTAATGTTTGTAATGGTTAACCCAATGGTTATTCACAACCCAACCCATTTAAATGGGCGGGTTGGGTGACGAGTTGATCACACAACCCGCCAAGTAAATGGGCAGGTTGGATGAAAAATTGCCACCCCTACTACTAGGTGATCTTTTAGTTTTTGTTTTGTACGCATAATTGTGAAGCTGATATGGAAGTACTTCCGTTCTTCCACCAGGAGTATTTCCCCTTCAGATGATATGCGAGTCTTGTTTTATTTTCTATTCTCAGTGGTTCACATTGTTCAGAGGAAAGGCAATAGAGAAAAAGAAAAGCATAAAACTGTGGAATGCATGTCTGAATGGGTCATAACCATTGTCGGCTGCCTGTCTGAGAAGCTGAGGCCCAATTAATCAATTGGATCCTGTCCCTGAATCTTGGCCCAAAAATGAGTTTGAACTCCATTGGTAGTGCTGACCGTCTTTATGCAGTCATATTACACCCGTATGCCACATAAAGCAACTTTTCTTTCTTTTTTGAAAACCTTTAGACTAATTCCATTATTCAACCAATAAAATCAATTAAATTCCTCCAAGATATGCTTGGTTAAATCAGGTTAGGAGGGTTCAGTATCCATTCAGTACAAACAGTAAAGTTAAAAAACTGACGGGCTAGGGTGTGAACTACCCCTGTTACAAGAGCGAGAAACGTATCTGAAGGTAACTGAACCTATCATTCATCCGTCTCCTGCAATCTGAGATCAAAGCTTGGATCCACCAAGGGACAGCAGGAGATTGACGATCCTTAGATTCTTTACCCATAAAAGAAAAAAAAAAAACTAACAAAGAACGAGAGATTGACGATCTGTATTCTGTAGGGTATCATTTGATGCATCGAATTTTCCTTGATCATTATGATGATTGATGTCAAACCCGGACTTGATCGTAGCTTAGGGATGCAATTTGGGTCGGGTCGGGTTGGCATTTTGTTAAATTTTCAATGGGCCCGAACCCAGCGTCGTTGAAATTCAAGTTGGGCTACCTGACTTGCAGCCCTACTGACAAGCTCCATCCACATTGGGTTAGGAAGGTCTTTTGTGGTAAGTGTTTTTAGCTTGTTTTCTTTTTACCCTTAATGGATATATTCAATAGATATTTTCTTTAACAAATACTTGAGGACAATAAAAAGTAAATTTCTTTTTCCATCCCTTTCCCATTTCTCCTTAGCCTCCGACTGTCAGCAGTCCAAATTTCATCTGTATTGATGGGAAGGCATGGAAATACAAACGAGTAAACGACAAAGTGCAAGTTCTCGTTCACTTCTGATTCAGATTTTGCTTTGCTTTGCTTTGTTTGCTTGAAGGAGCAAAATGGGGAGCAAAACAATTTGTGATTCCCGTTTTATTTGGGAGAGAATGGATGTGAGAAGAAGAGGATGTGCACAATTAGGGGTGTCAATGGACTGGTTTTGGGTTGGACTCTGTCTAAATCATAATCCATTTGGATGGATTGGACGGACCAATATGACATATTAGATTAGACTTGGTCTATCCATAATGAATTTATATTGGATTGAGCCAATATCTGGTCTATTGATAGAAAATAAGAACATAAGTATCAATGGACTAGGTTTGAGTTGAAACCAATCTAAATTAACAGGAATTTGAACAGATTAGACAGTCTCTGGACTAATCCAAAATGATTCAAAATGTTCATTAGACTGGATTGAACCAGGTCCATTTGTAATGGATTCACATTAGACTGGACCGGATTGGTCCAATTGACACCCCTGTAGCACAATCTATATAGCCAATTAATATAAATAAGACTAAAAATGCACAATTTGCATCACCAATTAACATATAAATAAGACTAAAAAAATACACAATTTGCATCTGATTTGAATTTCAATTTAACATACAAACAAATAAGCCTTGAGAGACGCAAGGAAGCCAATCTCCTTCCTGCTATTATAAATCTGTGTTAGCAGTAGCAGACAGCTTTGCTACACGCTGCTTAGCTGCACGTGCGATGCGCCACAGGCAGTGGGCCCTGCAAATCGATGCATGAAAGACGAGATTTTAATGGGGTCCACTACCTCTACGGCACATTCTGCAAATAATATAAAATAAAAATAAAATAAAGGGGGTGATTCGTGATTGATGGAGTGTTTGGCTTAGAGGAGAGAATGGTCTCGAATGATCCCACATTGATCCTTACTGGATCCTACTTTTACCTAACTATTTAATATCAAGCACATGATCTCATATTTAAATAAGTCATTAGCAACATTAAATCTTGAATCCTTTGCTTCAAGGATACGACAGCTCTACCGAAGGCTCCAATGATGCCTATAAAAAAATAGTTTGAATCCTTTTGATCATTTTCTTTTGGTGCAGCAGTTCTATTCTATGCTCCCTGATTCTCCAATGGCTGATGATAATTCCTTCCAATGTATTGCTTTCTAATACTGAAATCTAAATCCATACCCATACCCAGCTTTGTAGCTTTGTAGGAATGTCAATGAGCACCAATGGGTCGAACCTGGAGCGGGCCGATGTAAATGGGCTGAAATCCATTGGCTGGTTCAACTTGTTGTCAGGTTTGTGTTTGGTTTTGATATAAGTGAGTTTATAGTTTATACCCGATGAGCAATACAATGATGCTGATCGAACATATGAATTCAAGGGGAAGGGCAGGCAAACTTATGTCGTGTTTGGTTGCAGTGCAATTTTATTTGCATTAGTGAAAAAAAATGCAAACTTTGGTTTAATTTTTGTTTTGGGTTTTACTTTATTCTGTTTTACGTCT